TACTTGGGTAGTCAGTTCTTGATTGAACTGTTGTTATCTGTCGAGCAGAATGATAATGCTAACCTTTTCTGCTTTATTTATTTTACCTGCTTGCACCCTAGCATTTCTTGCCTTGTTTGAGAGGTCCGTATTTTGAGTTGTTTCTATATTTTGAGAAAGGAATCATCTTCGTGCTTAACATAACATCTGCCTCTTTTTTTCTTTTTCCATAGGGAAGCTGGTCTGCTAGCGGTATTTGTTCCGCAAACACGAAAGTTTGGAGTCTTACCTCATTCTTATATGTTAACTTGAGATTTCAGGACATTTAATAAATATTATTACGGCCATTTCATGAAACGTGACAATGTACAAAGCTGCGGACCACATGAGAAAAATAATGCTGCTGGATGGGCTTTGTAACTAAATTAGTGTCATTATGTGTTACCGCAAATGTGACAAATAACACCTCGATCGTACAAAACTTGCGAACTTCGATCTTCAGTTAGGTTAATAATAAGCCATGGGTGGATTCAACACACCCATGGCTTATTATTAACCTAATTTGCATAGATTTTTTTCGTGGGCAAAGCTCCTCATGGCAAGGAGAAACTGGACCAGAGGCTGGTCGTAATATAAAGCTTTTTATTTTTTTCCACGGCAAAACTTTTACGCCGACTCCAGTTACGCTTGAGATTAAGACTAAGGAAGTTTTAACACTTATTTCGGTGCTCTCCGCGGTCTGTGGAGGACGAAGTCAGCTAGGCTTTACTGATCAATTTGGGTTGTCAAAAAATTAGGGAAAAGATTTCTTTCTATCAGAAATTTTGAGTTTAAGCTCAGTGCATTCATAACACGATAAATGAATTTGATTTCGATAAGCTTAGCCTTCAAGCAATAGTTTTCATTTAGCAAAACACAGAGAGAAACACGGACTTCATAGCCTTCAGCATAATTAAATAAATTCTGAATAAATTACGGAAGCAGCGTTTCTGTTACTGACCTTTATTCCATTCGCAAAACTTTGAAAAGTTATCGTTAAACACGTACTGCGTTGAATCGCTTCGCCAAGCACATGAAGTTTGGACTGCCTGCACACTTTTCGTACAGCCTTTTACTTTCGTGATGACCGATTCCACCTACGAATCCCTGCATTTCCCCGTCAGAATAATTTTGAGTTAATTAATATGCTTTTTGCCTTTCACCGATAACCCTTTCCTTTCCTTTCTTAAAACTTTTTCAGTGTGAAATGTTTTCGTCGCTTTGCTCTGCGGATTTCAAGTCCGGCGCGGAGTCTGTGCTTTCATTCTTTCAGTCGCTGTGATTGGTTTGCCGCGTCATTTCATGAATTTAATGAGAATAAGCAACTTGCTCACGAAAGTACAATAAGTTTTCCTCTCACTGACAGACTCTTTCCATAGTTATTTCATAAAAGCAACAGACCACTCTTTCCATGAGTTTACTGGCGAAATAAACCACTTGGGGTGTTGGGAGAACACTCGAAAAGCTTGTAAATTACTCGCCTCGTGATTTACAAGCTTTTCTCGTGTTCTCCCAACATCCCGCGTGGTTTATTGCACCAGTAAACCAATAGAAAGAGTGCCGGGTCTATTGCTTAAATGGGGCGGTTCTTGCTTTAAAGAACTTGACACTTAGATTAGTATACTTCACAGATGAATGTCATAAGTTGAACGGGTCGTACATCATCCGTTGTTCAACCAAATTTACTTTCATCGCCTGACTTATTTAACTATGACATTCAGCCTGCATGCACGAAGTATATTCCCCGTTTTGCAGTTGGTCTCCTATTTCGGGAAATGACAATACTGAACACGCACTCAATAGTTTGGGAACATTTTCAAGATCTGCATCCTTTGACGTCATCTATTTGTCTGTACTAGCTCTAAATACGACTGTTATTGGCAACCAAAAACAGCCAGTGAACAGGCGAGACATTTGTCAGATATCGTAAAAAAAACGAGAGCTCCGTTCAGAGAAACTGAATTGCAACTTGTCAGTTGCATCTTATATAACACTTGGGATTAAGAAGGCAGACGTTGCTGTCAAGTTCAAAACTGAAATTTGATGTTATTTTCTCCTAACGATACAAAATATACCTTATGGAAATTAGGAAAATACTTTTAGATGCTAATTGAGTTTTGCTGTAGTTTTACCTAATTCTACAGCTTTGCTGAACTATTTTAGCTGTGGACTCGCTCATAAGCATATACTTGTCACTTGATAATCCAAATTTGCATCCCTTATATAACTCTTGCAATTAAGAAGGCAGCACGGTTCCTGTCAAAATAAGTCTGTGAAATTAAAAATCGTTGTTTTATTGTCACCTAAAAAATGACAAAAACAGAAAACTAATATCTTATTTTAAAAAATCTCAGAATGATTTGAAAACGCTAATGAAACTGGGAAGTTGTACGTTCGCTAAATGGGTGTTAAATACAGTTAGGAGCATTTTCCCGCTTTAATTTCTAAGCGCAATTTCGAAACCCGTGCAATAAGGAAAAATACAAATTTTCATCAGGAGGCGCTTTAAGCCGGAGGTTTCTAAATGTTTATTGTTAATGTAGTCATTTCCTGCCCACAGTGTGTGTGTATAGGGCAGCTGTTTTTACAAGTTAGAAGCGAACTAACATTCATTTGAAAATCCGATTTCCCATTTTGTTTTTCGCCATTAGCGGTCTCGTGCGTTCTCCGCCATAAAGTGGACTCAATAAATTTTGAATTTATACCACTAAGAACAGAATGCCTCTTTGGTCGCTTAATTACCCATATATATTCACAAGGTTTAATAATTTAAGTTGAGAATTTTGAGTTCCATTAAAGATGCGCAAACAACCGGAAAGGTAATCTTGAGGCATATCTTGAGGAAAATAAAGTACATAAAATTATTCACCTACGTGTATCATGGTTCTTCTCCGGACATTTTCCAGCGTGATCTAAAGCACCCTTTTCCGTAGGCTATATGTGAAAACGAGAAGCGCTGTGCAAAGCTACTGAACGTCAACATACAGATGAAGATGGGTGTTTTATTTTCTTTCCAACCCGGCTGTCACAGCGTTTTAAAGAAAATAAATGAACACATGCATAACAAGTTAGGTTGTGCTAAATCACAATATTGGTAAAACAGTATTGATATACTTTTTATTTGAAAAAGGGCGGCGTATCTTTCATTTAGTTTTCACCCATTCTGCACCGACAAAGTGTCTGAGGTTGCCGTCACTAGTTAGTCCATGACCATGACGTTATGGAAGGTACCTCATGTCCTTTTTAAAATTAAACATACCTTTAATTTACTTTTGGGCGCTCTCAGCGGTAGAAAAACGTTAACTTGAGGTCTGGTCTTGCAATAAAGTAGCAGCTATGGGAGGCAGTCGCTTCACGCGTCCAGTATTTAAGACAGGCTATTTCTCACCCNCGGACTTCTGAGAAATTTGATTACCGCCTCTCTTCCTAGTCCATTTCTGGTGTGAATATTTCAAGATTCAAACTGCTACTCGATTCAAGCATGATTGTCTAGACTCTACGAGGAGTCCAGAAAGTCTGACTTTGCGCTACAGGTACTTGAAACTGGAAAACATCCCTAATTTGCTTAAAAAAATGCGTAAAATCTTAAGACCGAGTAAAGAGTTTTTCGTCTTTACCACTCTAGAGTCTATAGAGCACACTAAAAGCCTGACTTTGGGCCTCATAATTTTTGTTTGCTTAATGTTTTGAATTGAGAGAGTATTAACAACAGCAACAGGCAACGAAACAAGGGACAAGGTATGCGCAGAAACAAGTTCGTTAACCAATGAAAGCGAAAACCACAAGAAAAAAGTTCTCTTACACACGTAAAAGTGCCGGATTTGGGTCGTCATATACTGGACCTGCTGTATGCACTTTGATCGAGTTGAAGGAGTCAGGAACTGTGCAGGCGGCATGGATAAACACTTATACTTCTGTTAATTAACATTTTATCCCGGGTTAGCCCGGCCTTTGAAGAATCCGGCCCCGTTTACAACAAGTTAACCTGACATGAGCCCGTAATCCAATCGAAAACCAGCACTTTGTAAGCAGCCAACTTTAAAAAACACGTGACCTCAATGAGCTATAAAATTGAGCCCACGATATGTTCACGTGATACTGCTCAGTCAATACCTTGTGTTGACAGGTGTCAATTGACCATATTATGGATGTCCAATATCAAATATGTACGCTGTAAACTAAGACTGCATGCCGCGCTCGACCTCGACCTACTAGCTGGAGTATGCCCGGCATGTTATGGAACGTCGGTTTTCGCAGGGCGCCCGCGCCCGCGATCCATGCCGCTAGCCACGTTGACAATGAAAAAAGAGTTGCATGGTTTTCTACTTCTATGCATGCGTGTAGCTCAGTTACTATAGTTATGGGGCTCCGCTTTGCGGCCATACTGGCCGCCGGAGCTCTGCTACTAAAGGTATCTTGAATTTCAGGGCTGAGAGAATTTAATAAGTTAGGGTCTTGAAAACCAAGTGAAAATTTCCTTACATTCAATCCTACAGTAGGGCAAAAGGAAGTAATTCTTGGTTATAATATTATACCTTTATGCGTCAACACGAAAGAAAATGCAGAGGATATAAGAGCTAATAGCTGGGGTTTGTCCCTCATTCTTGGTTGCTCTCATCATTTGCTCTCATAAAGCATGCGCTGTTTAAATCAATAAGAGCGCTTGTTATTTTGACACTTTATTGAAAACGGGTCAGGGAAGAATGAGAGTTGTGGAGTACAGTTGCGAGTTCCGAGTTAAAATACAGGTAAAAATTACAATAATAAAGTTGATATTAACCTAAAATCTACTTCCACTGGGTAGTTTGATTCTAATATTTAGAGCAAGATCAGCTTTTCATGCTAATCACTAGAATTGAATTATGTGTGTTTAGTAAGAGATGCTGGTGCGACGTAAATGTAATGTGCTTGAAAAAGAAACAAGCTTAATACTCGTTGGAATATCGGTCAACGGATAAAGCTCTCGGCGTCTAGCGAGACTGCATTTACATCTGGCTAGGATCTGATAGAGCGCATGTCTGTAACTTTGCATTCTTAGGCAATAAATGACAAGATTAATAAAAGAGTTAGCGAACTGCAGGAGCTTAATTCCGAAAACAACTACAGCGGGAACTTTCTTACACGGCACGCAAGTGTTTAACACTATTACCAACAGTTGGAATGGCAGCCATGTCAACACAAATGCGCCCGTTATCAAAAACAATGTCTTAGAGAACCTGGCCTCGCACTTCGCCGCTCTAACTCCCCATGGTCGAGAGGCGTGCTTTTTCCAAATAACTGCATATGAAGTGCAATATATCAACAGAGGGGTCGATAAGCTAATGATCATAATAACAACAAAGTGTTGAATTTCTATGACGGAAAATCCGAGCAACACTCGCGTTGAAGTCACAACAAGAGAGAGGATCCATGGCGTAATTATGGCAATGGTGTAGCAATGCGAAGAGAGCTGACGATGACGAAGCGGTCGAACGATAGCGTGCAGTCGCTCAAGAGAAATAAATGCTAAGGTGAAAATTGAAGAAAACCCTGTAAACATATCCACGCAATCAAATACCAGTCGTGACACAAGTGCTTCCTCAGAGATGACTGTCATCATATAGATCGGTATTGCAAATAATCCAACCGAAAGATCAGCTACTGCCAAATCGATTAACAAGTAATAAGAACGCCGGCGAAGTCTTCGCTTGACAAACACTGAAATGGACAGTGAGTTACCAAAGATGATTATACACGCTGTAGATGCAAAGCATACACTCCAGAACAGGTTCCATCTGTTGTAGTCCATGATGACTGGTCTCTGTAACGACGAACAAACCATACTTCCATTTATACATTAACATATTTAACTTTCAGTGAAAATAGACATGACAAAGTCAACGAGAACTATACATAGGTTTTACGTTAAGTGAACAAAAAATTAAAAAAAAACAATTGGTGTATTTAACTTAGGAAATAAATCTGAAGTTTTAGCTTCATCAGATGCAAGACATAACGTTTACTCTTTTACGACGTTTTAATATGCCCGGCAAGGTTCTCCATTTATAATAGGGAACGTTTATGATATCCTAGCTTACGTTTTGCTGACATCACAGTGGCGGCCGGATAAGGTTCTCGTCTACATATGCAGATCTATGTAGGTCAAAGGATGAGTTACGTTCAGGTTTTTGGTAACTGAATAATTCTTGCACTAGAAGAAGTAAACTATAGATTTAGGGCAGCCTAAAAGCGTAGCTCCTGGGCCGGGTTGTTCAGAGCCCAATTAAGCTAACCCAGGATAAGCAAGAATTTTGATTTGAGTTTTGTAACTTTGCGGTAAGGTTTTCTGTATATTGTTCGGCCTTCTGTTTTGAGTTTTAATAATCACAATATTTACAAAACAAAGCAGCGAAAAACATTTGTATAGAAGAAAAAGTTGTAATTCGGTTGACTTTTAATCCTGGGTTAGCGTTAACCAGCTTCCGAACAACCCGGCCCTGTTTTCAACAAGTTAACCTGACATGAGCCCGCGATCCAATCGAAAACAAGCACTTGGTCATTTCAAAAAAAAAAAAAAAACATGACCTCGATGAGCTCTAAACTTGAGGCCGCGCTGTGGTCACGTGATACTGGTCAGCGGATACCTTGTTTTTCGATTGGATCTTGGCTGTAATCAGGGCCGAGTTGTTCGGAGATTGGGTTAACGCTAACCCAGAATTAAAAGTTAACCGAATTATTTATCTTCTATACAAGTGTTGGTGTAGTTTGAGATGACTCAAAATCAAAACAGATGGCCAAAAATAAAAACAGGAAACTTCACTGCAAAATTACAAAACTCAAATCAAAATTCTCAGTTCTCAAATTCTCAAACTTCTCAATCAAAATTGGGTTAGCTTAATCAGGCTTTAAACAAAGCGATTGAAAAACCACTAAGGTTGTTTTCTACTAGAACAATTTTGGCTCGATAAAGTCGGAAAAGTCCGGAAATGCAGTGAAAACGGCTCGTCCTGAGTTTAGCGAGATAAAAATGTAAGCTGTTTTCACCAGAAGAAACAAGCAATTTTCTCGCCAATATGACCGGAAAATCACGCCAAATTATACTACCTCGCGAGATAGTATAACTTTTTCTGGTAAGTGCCGCAGCCAATCACATTCTGCGTAGTGACAGACGCCTACCAAAGAATCTGGCAATAGTATTTACCAGACGCTCATATCGCAGTTCAATGTGCGAAACTGAACTTTTAAAACGGTAGACAAGATCAACAGTACTTCTCATTTATTTCAGTTTACCATTCCAACGGTCCCGTTAGCTTCGCCAGTTCCTCGGCCAGGACCCTACCTATGACACGGCGTTGCCGTGCAGAACGAGTTCCTGCATTACAACCGTTTCTTCGCATCTTCCAAATTTCTGGGGACATTAACCGCATCGTCGAGAAGAAATGCCTTCCCCTTCATATAAATATAGCTAGAAAAGCGTTTCCTCTCTCAGCCATTTTTGAAAGTTGCGCGTAATTTAAATCTTTTGGGTTAAATTTCCAGTGAAAACAGCATGCACCTTTAACTAGCACATTTTGGTCTGTAAACAAACACCTAGAAAGAATGTTCAGCTAGTTAATCGGCCTGGTGAAAACGCAGCCTGAAACCTAAATCTTGGAGAGTATGTTTATATATTAATCATCTGTCATATCTCAGATTCTGGCTTAATTTCAATGGTTACGATTTTTATTTCTGATGGCGTGACAGTGAAAACCAGGAATTGACTCGCGATGTGGAGGGTTCGGACCTTGCTCAGGGAGGTATGTTTATTTATTTATTTATTTATTTGTTTTTACTTTTTTTATTCATTTATTTATTTGCATTTCCTGCCAGAAAACTAGCAAATGAAAACACCGTGCACCTTGCCGTGACCAGTGAACTGTTGATCATGCTGATTTCTCTAATATGTTCACGTCACCGACCCGTTCATCTTTTCATCTTTGCAACAATCGTGCTGTTGTACATTTGATACTACAGTGCGGGTGCCTGGTCTTGTCTCTTTGGCTTAGGCGAGTGTCTACCTGAGAATGCGATTTTCAGGGGAAAACAATGGAGGGGGGTGAATAGGGGTATGCAAATCCGCCGATCCGTGCCTTTTTTCGCCAAATCCCTCGATCCGCCTGGTAATGTGAATGCCATTGGTAATTTCGCAAAAAATAGTACAGAAGGCAACATGCTTGATGACTGTAACACAGTACAATTCCAATAACAGTCTCACACCTGAGTTTAAATGAGCTTCGTTCGAGAAAAGAAATAATTTGGATGAACTCATTGACATACCGACCAAGGCTGAAGAAAGATCTATGATCCAATTTTCGTTTTAGACCCAAGATCCAAACATCAAGACAGGTACAATTCAGAATCCGCGCCGAAATTCACAGCTGATCCACGATCCACTGTATTTTCAAAATCCGCGAATCCGCTCGATTTACCGCAAAAATCCACAATCCATGCTCTTTTTAAGGTCAAATCCGTCGATCCGAAAACCTGTTAACCCCCCTCCAAATGCCAGCAATGGTCAAAACCGACAATTTAGATTAAAAGCACCAAATTTCGGTAAAATACCCTTTGAAAGCGTGGCTGCCATAGAAACATCAAGTTACAAAACGTAACAGTGGACGTCTCTTTTTTTTTTTTTAAGGAAAGTCACAAGGTTGACCATAGCGTAAAAGTAGAAAAGCATTAAAATCACACAGAAAAATTTGTATCTACCCCCGTCATCCCCCTTCCCCAGTCTGAAGAGGGTTAGTCTCATGCAGACCGTGAGAGGGTGTGATTTTAATTGGAATCATTTTGACTGTTGAAAGGGTTTGGTGTTCACCATGTTGGATGTTTGTGTGTCAACTTTATGTTTTAAAACATATGTTCACTTAGTCTCTATATAGGTTCATTTTTGATAAATTTGAATGTTAATACTCTCATCCATATAAAAAGCGAAAAAGCATTACTTAGTAACTGTCGAAAGGATATTACACAGCAGTCTGTCTTAAGAAAATAAGGAAACACATATCCTGTTCTAAAAATGGCAGACGAGAAACAAAGCATAGTAATTAGCAAGTCCTGCCAAGTAAAGGTTAATACTTAATGGTCCGCATAAAATTGTTGCAAGTGCTCCAAAGTATTTCATTATAAAAATGATATTCTAATCACACCTCTGATATCCTGCACCAGCCTAAACGTAATCGCGGTGCATTTTTCATGACTCGTTGCAATTTAAAAATATTGAACGAAAAATCGTTAACGTTAACATCACGGGATGATAGCAAAATGGTGCGTTCTCTAATCATGGTCGCTTGCAATTATATTTGCTGTCTTACATCAAAACCAGCTGTTGCATTTTTAAGTCAATAATTATATTGCCTCTCTTATTTTCTATAACTTCCTCTTACAAAATGTTCTCTTCTTCAACAAATCTGCTTCCCAGCTTATGATACTCGACAGACTGGGACACAAAAATGATAACCTCATTTAAAATTAGAGTGGAGAAGAATGGTAGTTTCGGACGAAAAAAATTGATTACACCCCAGCAGAAAAAAAAAACTACGCTGCAGTTACTGTAAGGACTAAAGGTATAATAATATTTCATGTTAACTAAAATGTTCGGATCTGACAGGATCAGAGTGATGTTTATTCTAGTATAAAAACGGCAAGTTGTCTTTTGAATCCGTTAAAGAAAAGTGAATGCAGTCCTCTTACCTCTTAGGAAAAATAAAAGTCCGCAGTTGCAGAGAAACAGAGAGTGCTCTTTCAGTATTCAGCAAATGGCAATCGACTGATGGCTTGGAATAAAATTCCCGGTTATCAAAGTGCACATTACGCACATTACGCGCATTATACACATTACGCGAAAAGAGTGTCTTAGAAGCTCAAAAGCATTTCGTAAATAATAAAAAAACGTTAATAATATTTCCGCCAAAAATAGGGACAGTGTGCGTCATCAATACGTATCGAGGGCTTTTGTTTCCCTTTAAGTTTGAATTTTTGGGTGGTGTGTCGGGGAGTTGCACTAAAGCTTTCAAGACTTTACATTCTTAAGGTATCAAAGCATTCGTTTACTGCATCTTTTGCCCTCATAGAAAAAAGGCAATTTAAATTATGCTAGTGAACTACTTTGTGTATCTGAAAGTCCAATATTAAACGTCTAAAAAGTATCTTTTCAGCGACATCTCCAGTTAATAATTAAAGAAGAGGTCTTCATCTATCAGTTGATGTCAGGTTTTTTTTTTCTGTTTTTAAGGACGGTGCCTACTTTTTTATGTGTACACCTTATGGGCACACGAAAGACAAGGTTTACTCCACTACGCTATCGTGTACAGGGGAGGGAGGATTCCAGTAACCCTTGGTGAGATGTCTAATTTTCCACATGGTCCAAATTTGGGAAAAAGACACTTTTGTACTTAGTAGGTATTGTCCTTAATAGACGCATTACTGTCTTGTTGTGGAGGACATTATTTTGAACCATCAATTATAACTTACATTGCATGCATAATCAAAACCCAAACCACCTCATGAAGAAATAGTCCCGATATTTGTAATTAAAGATGGCTCTCTATTAAAGAAGGCGATGCAATATATAATTAGAGGAAGTCCTTTTACTGTAAATATGTGATCATTTGATGACTTAAAACAACGCTAAAAGACACTGTTCGTCAAAAGAGTGGAAAATCCAAGCCGATCATCCAACAATACATGCATATTCCTTTTTTTAAAAAAACTTCGTCATGACGGTCATTAATTTTGTTTCATTCAAGGTAGAGAATTTGACAAAACGAAGGAGAATCCCACCCAGCTTGGTTAATACTGTATATTAAAAGCTGGATCATTGGACAATGCAATTGGAGAGTTTTTATTGGCTTAGCCATCATGAGTTACGGGCTATTATACCATGTTTACAAATATGGTAAGCTTACGGGTGATTTTTTTTGTGTCGTTTATATTTTTATTTTAGTGTGGTTTTCTATATTTTGGGGGCGTTTTTAACAAAACAATTATTTCATTCTCGCTTGTGGGATATAAGACGATCAAAGCGAAATCGGCGCAGTAGCGCCTCATTGGCTATCTACCATCTCATATCCAACGCGCGCTCGTGGAATAACTGCTAAGTACTTTAGTCATTTATTTATTTATTTATTTATTTTATTTTATTTTTTTTAATCATTATTACACACACTAGTCACAATACTTATACAGCTACTTACACCACTTTCAAGGCTAATACATATACTTACATTACTTATAATACTTCT